GCAAAAGCAATTTTGGTCCACAGATTATTTACAGTGACATTAGCCACAAATTTAACAACTGTTATAGAAAGGGATGATTAAAAGAGATTTATTCCTTTGAATTAAAATTGAATACCGATTTGTTTACAGATCTCACTGTCTTTACAGATACAAAGAGACTTTACTCCGGAGACTGATTTATCTCTTTGGGGAGGCATTTATTGCACATGACATCATTAACCTTACAGGCTCATTGTCTCAGGCAAACTCAGCTCCAGAAAGTAAAGACTGCAAAAACAGAGACAAACACATCATCAGTCACAAACTGATACAGATTAGATCCATCACACAATTTTCACAAACAATTTCTTGTCTATTATTTGACACTAATGATTATGAGAAACCGTTTTCTATCTACTAGGTTGAATCTCGTTTTACGCAACATAGGATGCAAGCGCTATTTCAAAGCCTCGGTTTTCGGATTTGAGTTTTTTACCTTGCAGACATACAGGCCATGCCAACAAACACAGCCTTCACTGCTTGTTTCTGTCCAGCATAATCAAATGCCAAAGGAAGCATTTCATGCAACGTTAGGAAAGCCATGATGCCACCAACTGCATCACACATATAACAGTTTTGCGCTAATTCGTTTTGTCTAATGATTTTAATACAAAATATTGATCTGCTGCGGAGTTACTACGTACCTGCTCCCAACAAGCCTTCAAGGATTTCTGGACTTAAGCTGCTCGGGAATAGATAGGCTGCATCGTACGGAAGATAGATTAAACCAGAATTTCTGATACTCTCTCAAAACTCTTAATAGAGCAGGTATTTGTACAGAAGAAGCAACTTGAGGCTACTTACCCACGATAATTACACCTAGAGGCTCAGCTAAACCAGAGAGTGTTGCCAATTTGAATGCCTGCCATTTGCTGTTACATGCATATTATTGATTTGGGATGAATATGACCACATAATATATAATGAACTGCATACATCCTATCCCAATATACAATGTGGATAGAAGAATAAACATGAATCCATATGCAGACATGTTCTTACCTCTCTGTAGCAAAATAAATAGGAAGTGCAACCGCAACACCCTGAAAATACCACACCAGAGCAGCAAGAGACAAGTAAAATCAGTGAAAATAACAATCTAGCTGTTTACTTGTCTTTCAGATTAGGTTATAGTGGAAAACAGAGTCAAAGAGGAAACACAGCAAAAGAAAAGGAACATGTTATTGTTTATAAGGTTTTTTTAATATTTGAGCTTAAGTCAGTAGATATGACAGTCTTCAAAATGTTATAATGGTTACAGAATCTGTACCTCAGGAATGTTGTGTAAAGCGATTGCCAAAGCCAGATTAACACCAACGCGCATGCCCTGTGAAGTAGAATCCAACAAGCAAAGATTGATATTAATACGCTGGTGATGAGTATAAAGAGTTTATAACTTGTTAGAATGCATGCTCCCTGAGATTTTCTGTTCATCATGTTCCTTAATCCTCACCTTAATTGATCCGAGAAATACGGCCATCCCTTCTGGGAAATTGTGCAAGCTTATGCCTATAGTTCAAAGCGAAAAAGATAAGAAATACATTAAGAGTTTTAGACAAATATTTAAGCTATAACATCAACATTAAAATCCAGATAATTTTCAGAAGTCCAAAAAATGTGATCTTCGCGATCGAACAAACACACGGATGATTAGGTCTTACACATTATTGTGCTGTAATAGATCGACTAGTTAGCTAAATATGAGGAGTTAAAAGCTGCAATGGTTTTGACAAGTCATTGTAGAAACATCTAGCCAACAAATTACTGATCAAACTAAATGCACTCAAAACTCAGAAAACAAAAGATTAACAAATTAAAGAAATGGAAGTGAAAGTTGGTATACCAATAGCTGTAACAATTCCACTATATAAGACTTGCCGGCGATGCTTCTTCCCCATGTCCTTACCTCCATCGTCTACATTTTTCTGTTATCAACAAATATGCCAAACTTTCATGATACTATAGAACCACAACATTTCGGGCAGAAAGCCTTCACAGAACACTGTTAAAAAAAACCACTCTTGCCTTTCTTCTTTTTACGTCAGTAGAAGGACCAAGTGTTGGTTCGGGTATGAATTTGGCAATACACGCAAAGAATATCACACCACCAAAAAACTGCATCACTAGAAAACTATATTACTTTCAGTGTGAAATAAAATAAAATTATATGTATAACAAAACCACTGAGGTACAAGATGGACAGAAGCACTAACCCAGAGGTTGCCTTTTAAGAACCCGATAGAGTTTATAGCATTATGAGCCAAATCCAGGAACGATATGCTCAACATCAGACCTGCTGCAAAACCCTGTAGAAAGGACTTGCAATCATTAGATAAACAACCTACAATATGAATCAATTTTTCAAAAAGTGAAAAGCTTTGTAGAGAAGGATGTTAGTACGGGAACACAACTTCTAGTTACTGGCATCCTATAAAACATGAAGACAAGAGAATATAGCAACGATGACAAAAAGTGAGAATGAAGCAACTAATGTAACTTCACCAATGACTCTATCAAATATTGGGAACTCTGATTTACCAGAAATTGACCAATATTACAAAATTGAAGGCCTCTTGTATGCTATTAGAGAGGATATGGAATACATATTGGGAACCTTAGAATGGAAATTAGATCAAGCCTGACCTGCAGAAGTCCAAGCATCTTCATATTGGGAGTATCACTAAGAACTACGAAAAGTGCACCTACGAAATTTAACATAAAACTTAGTTAAAACGGAAGAAGAAAACAATCTAACTTGGAACCTTCTCGTACTATCTAAGTAACAGGTATAAGAAACTTGAATTCAAATATCAAAATCCACAGTTCCATATGTTCAGTAAAAGACACCAAATCTTCATATCTAGGAGCTAACAACATATTGAACCCAAGACCATCCCTGCAAATTTCACATTTTTAAAGAAACAAACAATCCAGCCTTACCAAACAATTTGATGGCACAACAACTACAATCACAAAAACTTGAGAAAAAACGAAAAAAGCTTTGGACTTTTCATAAAAGTAGAGATAACTAGAGTGACCCACCTAAAGAAGTACTTAATCCACCCACAAGAGATAGTCCAAGCGCCACAAGCATCTGGGAATCCATCGATTTTATCTGACAGGAATTGAAGAAGAAAGCTAGGATTGTCGCTCCTCAGTAGAAACAAAACACAACCAAATTCCAAAGTCGACTTCAGAAATGGAGAAGACGAAGAAGAAAGTGTATTATATAGACGGAGAAGAGGAGAATATCTAAACCCGAAGGAAGAGATAGTTTTGGTTTTGGGGGTTAATCGATGGAAATCGGAAACACAAAACCCTAATCCAGAGCTTTTCTCTGTTCAAATTCTTAGCTTCTTCGTGAGTGAGAGCATATTATGCCTGACCTTGCGTCTCGTTTTCCACCTAACCTTGCATCTTCTTTCTCGCCTCTCTCAGTCCCTCCCTGGTTTATGTTGACCCGGATTTCTCTCGCGTCGATATAACCCGGTACACCATCTACAACCGGGTAAACGTAAATCAATTTTAAAATCTAATACGCCCTTAAAACCAATTAGCTAAAAAAACATATAGATTTAATAAATCATTTAATACATTTAATAAAAATAATTTGACCAATTACACAAAAAAAACTGCAAACTATTGGTCACACAATATTCAATAGACTTAAAAAGTACATATGATTGTCAAAACAACTTTCATTTTGTAACAAAAAAAACCTCCAAAACAACTTATATTTTGAAGCGAAGAGAGTATATAGCCTGATTAAACGGCCA